GAACTCCTGGCCTCAGGTGATCCACCCACCTCGGCCTCCCAAAGTGCTAGGATTACAGGCATGAGCCACAGCGCCCGGCCTTTATTCTTCTTTTTTTAAGACAGGATCTTGAGGCTGGGCGCGGTGGCTCACACCTGAAATCCCAGAACTCTAGAGGCGGAGGTGGGCGGATCATCTGAAGTCAGGAGTTCGAGCCCAACCTGGCCAACACGGTGAAACCCTGTCTCCACTAAAAATACAAAAATAATTTGGTTATGATGGCGGGCGCCTGTAACCCCAGCTACTCGGGACGCTGAGGCAGGAGAATCGCTTGAACCCGGGAGGCGGAGTCTGCCTGGGTAACACAGTGAGAGTCTCCAAAAAAAAGAACAAAAAGACGGGGTCTCGCTCTGTTGCCCAAGCTGGAGTGCAGCGGCACGGTCTCAGCTCATTGCATCCTCCACCTCCCGGGCACAGTGATCCTCCCACCTCGGCCTCCCAAAGTGCTGGGATTACAGGCCTGAACCGCTGCGCCCGGCCTGTGGGCAGGTTTTCACCAGTGGTTTTGGGAACGCTGTGGAGAGGACAGTAAGCAGGGAGGTATGAAGTGGAGGGGGGCGGGTAAAAGGGCCATCGCCGCCCTAGGGCTCTGGTAAGTGTGTTGTCACGGGGTGGGGGAGCAGCAGCTCGGGATTGAATGACCCAGAAAAACAGTGCCGGGAGGGAGCCTGGTGGGAGGGAAGGATTGCCTTCCCTGCAAAACGCCCAGGTCAGGATTAAAGGTGTTTTCTGTGGTGGGGCTCATGCCCCCCCCACTCCCTCCCTTCCTCAATTTCCCCACGGGCCGCACACTGAGGCGGGGGGACCAAGGCCTCCTGGAGACCGGGGGTTCCTGTCTTTCCTCTCTGTGGGACCCAGACAGCTTCCTTCCCGCCATGCTCCGTGCTGTTCCACGCAGCCTGTGAATTCCCAGTCTTGGCATCTGTCCCTGTGCGTACGCGTCCACCCAAATCCAGAACTCAGTTTGGCGTTCGCCTTTATTTTGCCGTGAATGGGATCGCACCATATGGACTTGTTTGGCAATCTTGATTTTTCTCCGCCTGTGAAACCATCGCTGCCATCTTTCCCGCTGGGTGCATGCGTATCTTTCAGCATTTCATGATAATCACGGAGGGTGGTTTTTTGGTTTTGTTTTTTTTTTGAGACGGAGTCTGGCTCTGTCACCCAGGCTGGAGTGCAGTGGTGTGATCTCGGCTCACTGCAACCTCCGCCTCCCGGGTTCCAGCGATTCTCCTGCCTCAGCCTCCTGAGTGGCTGGGACTATGAGCGTGTGCCACCATGCTGGGCTAATTTTTCTATTTTTAGTAGAGACAGGGCTGTGTCATGTTGGCCAGGCTGCTCTCAAATGCCTAATCTCAAGTGATCCACCCGCCTTGGCCTCCCAAAGCGCTGGGATGACAGGTGTGAGCCACCGCGCCCGGCGGGAGGAATTTCTTCTCTCACAGTTCTGGAGTCTGGAAGTCTGAGCTCAGGCAGGTCCACGCTTCCTTTGGGGGGCTTTCGGGGCGACCCCTTCTGACCCTTCCAGCTTCCGGTGGTAGCCAGCCATCCCTGGTGTCACTTGACCTGTGGAGGAATCACTCCAGTCTCTGCCTGGGTTGTCACCGGGCCTTTGCCTGTGTCCCCGTGTCCAGATTTCCCTCTGATAAGGACGACAGTCATGGAATTAGGGCTCCTCCACTCCCTCGTGACCTCGTCTTAATGATTTACAGCCGCAAAATACAAACTCTGTCCTCACTTAATGGACGATGCCTCCTGGGGCTCCGCGTCTGTTCGCTCTGGAAGGCACTGGGAAGGCAGGAGCTGCCTTCCTAGATATTTAGCAGATGAGGATCGGCGGCCAGTGGGAACCGTGAGGAGACGCGCAGCCTGGCTTGGGCCAAGGGGCCTGGGGGGATGCCTGAGGGGACTCAGCTGCTAAGATGCCAAAAATAGCCGGCTGGCGGGCGGGGACGTGGCCAAGCAGAAGAGGCTGGCAGTGCCGCCGGGTAGCTCTGGCTCCTTCCCCCCGCTCCCTCCAACCCCACCTCTACCTCCGACCCCAGTCCCCAGAATCTGGGCTGCAGCCAAAGAATTGATGGAGGTACAGCAGGCTCCCAGGAGAGATGGAAGCAGCCCAGAAGATGCAGCCACCGGGACCCACCACGGCTCCACGCCATCTGCCCGCACCCAGAGGCCCCTCGTAACCCAGCTCCCCGCCCCGCTCCACTCTCCCTTAGCTCCACCAGATGACCGCTGGACCCCAGGGCCTTTGCACTAGCCGTTCCCCCAGCCCCAAACCCTTCCTCCAGAAAACCAGGGGCTCTTTTTTTTTTGAGACCGAGTCCCTCTGTCGCCCAGGCTGGAGTGCTGTGGCATCATCTCCGCTCACTGCAACCTCCGCCTCCCGGGTTCAAGCGATTCTCCTGCCTCAGCCTCCCAAGTACACTCCAAGCTGGGACTATAGGTGTGTGTCACCACGCCCAGCTAATTTCTGTATTTTTGGTACAGACGAGGTTTCACCATGTTGGCCAGGATGGTCTCGAACTCCTGACCTCAGGTGATCCACTCGCCTCGGCCTCCCAAAATGCTGGGATTACAGGCATGAGCCACCGCGCCCGGCCTTGAACGTATCTTTTGTAGGGACACAGTTCCACCCACGACAGGGTCTGAGATCAAATGTCATCTCCCTGTCTGTGGATCAGCCTGTCCTGAACATTTTATAGTAACGGGATCACACAGCAGGGCTCAGTGCGTCACACTTGTAATCCCAGCACTTTGGGAGGCCCAGGTAGGTGGATCACCTGAGGTCAGGAGTTTGAGACCAGCCTGGCCAACATGGAGAAACCCCGTCTGTACTAAATATACAAAAATTAGCCGGGCGTGGTGGCAGACGCCTGTAGTCCCAGCTACTCAGGAGGCTGAGGCAGGAGAATTGCTTAAACCCTTGGGAGGCGGAGGTCGCCGTGAGCCGAGATTGTGCCACTGCACCCCAGACCGGGCCACAGAGCGAGACTCCATCTCAAAAAAAAAAAAAGAAAAGAAAAACGGGATCACACACTGTGTGGCCTTTTGTGTGGGGTGTCTCTCACCAGCATGGGGTCCTCAAGGTACCTCCCCCCTGTGGCCTATGTCAGAGCCTTGCTTCTTTCCGTGCTGAGCCATGTTCGTGTGTGGATGGCTGTGCTGTGCTGACTCCCCAGCCCCTGGTGCACCTCCCAGCCTTTCCCGCTGTCTGGCTGTGACAGATGCGGCTGTGAATGGTCCCGGGCGGGTATTCTGCGCCCGGTGTGTGCCCTTCTCTTACGTAAAGATAACAAGGAGCAGGCCAGGTGCAGCGCAGCGGCTCACACCTGTCACCCCAAGCACTTTGGGAGGCCGAGGCGGGCGGATCACCTGAGGTCAGGAGTTTGAGACCAGCCTGGCCAACATGGTGAAACCGTGTGTCTAGTAAAAATACGAAAATTAGCCAGGCCTGGTGGCATGCACCTGTTAATCCCAGACACTCGGGAGGCTGAGGCAGGAGAATCACTTGAACCTGGGAGGTGGAGGTTTCAGTGAGCTGAGATCGCACCACTGCACCCCAGCCTAGGCGACAGAGTGAGACTCCATCTCAAAAAACAAACAAAAACAAAAAAAAAGAGTAGCGGAATTGCAGCATCACAAGGACTGGAATTTGATCAATACTGCTTTTTTTTTTTTTTCTTTTGAGACAGGGTCTTGCGCTGTCTCCCTGGCTGGAGTGCAGTGCTGTGATTAGGGCTCACTGTGGCCTCGACCCTCTGGCCGCAAGCAGTCCTCCCAGCTCAGCCTCCAGGCCACCGTGCCTGGGGAAATTTTCAAATATTTCACAGTTACTTGC